AGCACGTCCATCCTCCCCCTCCTCACCAACACACACCAGTGAGCACGTCCATCCCCCCCCCCATTCCTCACCAACACACACCAGTGAGCACGTCCATCCCCCCCCCTCCTCAACAACACACACCAGTGAGCACGTCCATCCCCCCCCCATTCCTCACCAACACACACCAGTGAGCACGTCCTCTGGGCTCATCTCATTTTAACCCGCTCGTGAATGATGCCCACTGCGGTGGGTCTGATGTGATGAGTAAGACTGGCTATGAAATTACAGTTCGTGAAAAATGTTCAGCACATTGAGGGTCATTCCATTGACTTCTCAAATCACGTAAAACCAAAAATGTTTTTTGGGGGGGTTTCAGATAATTAATGCATGAGAGCGTATCATGCATTACCTTCCACTGATCGCATTATTCTGTGTTATATAAATCGTAATAATTTACAGTTCTTTGTCGCCCCACTGCTGAATCAAGATCTCCCCATGCCGTATAGCTCGTAGCTGTTGTTGGGCCATGCTTCACCACTCTGGTCCGTGTGGGTTTGTGAATAGGATGCCCAGGACTGGGTCAGTGGCCACTTGCCACTGATGTTAGCCGTGGCCGGGAATTTAACTCACTGGGATAATAGCATAGTACAGTGAGGGAAAAAAGTATTTGATCCCCTGCTGATTTTGTACGTTTGCCCACTGACAAACAAATGATCAGTCTATAATTTTAACGGTAGGTTTATTTGAACAGTGAGAGACAGAATGACAAGAAAATCCGGAAAAAAACACATCAAAAATGTTATAAATTGATTTGCATTTTAATGAGGGGAATAAGTATTTGCCCCCCTCTCAATCAGAAAGATTTCTGGCTCCCAGGTGTCTTTTATACAGGTAACGAGCAGATATTAGGAGCACACTCTTAAAGGGAGTGCTCCTAATCTCAGCTTGTTACCTGTATAAAAGACACCTGCCCACAGAAACAATCAATCAATCAGATTCCAAACTCTCCACCATGGCCAAGACCAAAGAGCTCTCCAAGGATGTCGGGGACACGATTGTAGACCTCCACAAGGCTGGAATGGGCTACAAGACCATTGCCAAGCAGCTTGGTGAGAAGGTGACAACAGTTGGTGCGATTATTCGCAAATGGAAGAAACACAAAGAACTGTCAATCTCCCTCGGCCTGGGGCTCCATGCAAGATCTCACCTCGTGGAGTTGCAATGATCATGAGAACTGTGAGGAATCAGCCCAGAACTACATGGGAGGATCTTGTCAGTGATCTCAAGGCAGCTGGGACCATAGTCACCAAGAAAACAATTGGTAACACACTACGCCGTGAAGGACTGAAATCCTTCAGCGCCCGCAAGGTCCCCCTGCTCAAGAGAGCACGTATACATGCCCGTCTGAAGTTTGCCAATGAACATCTGAAAGTTTCAGAGGATAACTGAGTGGAAGTGTTGTGGTCAGGTGAGACCAAAATGGAGCTCTTTGGCATCAACTCAACTCGCCGTGTTTGGAGGAGGAGGAATGCTGCCTATGACCCCAAGAACACCATCCCCACCGTCAAACATGGAGGTGGAAACATTATGCTTTGGGGGTGTTTTTCTGCTAAGGGGACAGGACAACTTCACCGCATCAAAGGGACGATGGACGGGGCCATGTACCGTCAAATCTTGGGTGAGAACCTCCTTCTCTCAGCCAGGGCATTGAAAATGGGTCGTGGATGGGTATTCCAGCATGACAATGACCCAAAACACACGGCCAAGGCAACAAATAAGTGGCTCAAGAAGAAGCACATTAAGGTCCTGGAGTGGCCTAGCCAGTCTCCAGACCTTAATCCCATAGAAAATCTGTGGAGGGAGCTGAAGGTTCGAGTTGCCAAACGTCAGCCTCGAAACCTAAATGACTTGGAGAAGATCTGCAAAGAGGAGTGGGACCAAATCCCTCCTGAGATGTGTGCAAACCTGGTGGCCAACTACAAGAAACGTCTGACCTCTGTGATTGCCAACAAGGGTTTTGCCACCAAGTACTAAGTCATGTTTTGCAGAGGGGTCAAATACTTACTTCCCTCATTAAAATGCAAATCAATTTATAACATTTTTGACATGCGTTTTTCTGGATTGTTCTGTTGTTATTCTGTCTCTCCCTGTTCAAATAAACCTACCATTAAAATTATAGACTGATCATTTATTTGTCAGTGGGCAAACGTACAAAATCAGCAGGGGGTCAAATACTTTTTTCCCTCACTGTATGCGAACCAATGCACCACGACTGTGTAATATAGCAACCCATACATTAGGCACCACATGTACAGTATTAATAATGTTTAGTTTAATATAGCATCGTTGATGCAAATGGATTCTTGCAAACGCAGAGCAACCACAAGCTGGAAGACAGCTAGGCGGGTGAGCCAGCCCCAAACAGTTGCCCAAGCTCTGGAGTCCTCAATGTTTTAAGATATTTTCAGCCAATAAATTAGGATTTTTTTATATTTTTTTTATTATATAGTAAAATTTGTATTACTCAAATGTACCATGACCTGAGCTGTCTGTTTCATGTATACAAAGGTATTTGAAATTCCTATTCGGTCCCCAGTAAGGAAAAGGTGCCCCACCACAGCACCACTGCCAAACAGAGAGGTGGATACCGAGCACGAGAAAATGAAACTCTCACCTCCTCTAGCCCAGGAGTGTCAATGCAGATCGACGGGGTGGGGGTGGGGGATCACTCAATGCTCACATGAGGGCAGGGGACACGTCGACTGCTTCATTGAGTGCGCCGGTGTACGTGTATATATGTAATAAATAAATAAAAACTACGCGACGCATTCTTTGCGTGCGGTGTTTTTTAGCCGGCAGATGTGGCCGGGGTGCGCCAAAGGGCCGTGGTGAGCACGGCACAGTTAATTAGAGGCAGGCATGCGAGGCGGCAGGAAAGCAGGGCAGACCGTAATGATCGTGACCTCTGGCCCCGGCGCAGGATGCCACTGGTAATTTAACTTCAACGCAGAGGCGGTAATAGAAAGGCCGAGCGGCGCAGATAATTGGCGCAAACGTTGTTTGCAATGCATTAAAAGAAAAAAAGGTTTTAATCAAAAGAAAATGCAAATGAATAAGTGTAATTTAACAAGGGCATTTACATGCATCCTGCTGTGCGCACACCGGATTTCGATGTTTTAAAATGTAGCCATTTTTTTGTGTGTGCCGGCTGTGTCTGATGAGGCGGAATGAAACGGGGAGAGAAGTGCCCTCGGTCCCACTGTGATGTTATGCGTTCGTCAACTGCTATACGCATGGGTTGGCTTCAGAGTTTAACATTTTTTGTCACACGGCTCAAGAGACCGGAGACTTTTCCTTTTTTTTTACCCGAGTGGCCAGGATTTGTGGATTTGCAGGTTTGTGGGTTGGTGCCAGAAGAAAATGAATCGGAATCTAAAGAGTTTGATAGAAACCAACTCATACATTACCAAGATTAATATCTTGGACTAATTCAAAGAGTTGCCTGCCCAATTATTTCTCTTCCTGTATGGTTGTCGCATAATTTGTGGTGGGTTGTGTTCACCACGGTATAATTGTTAGCACACTGCACTTGCAATCAATCCAGAGGTCGCCGGTTCAATCTCCCAGTGCAGCAATTTCAACAATGGGTAAAGTTTCTTGAATCCACCTGCCTCTGTCCACGCAGCAGTACACGAGTCCAGCACTGCTAGTTGATCGGCAGATCGTGTGTGGTGGGGTAAAAGGTGGGTATTCCCACCTCTTCCAGGATGTCTGGTGAGAGTGGAAGAGTAGGCCAAATGCTCTCTAGGGTGGCTCTATTGAGCTCCTTGCAGTAGAAACCCTTCCGCTGTGTCTCGTGTGTGCCCACTGTGTGCCATGTGCCGTGTGTCCAGCGCTGTATCCTCCACGTGCGAGGATATTCGAACGCTTTAATAAACTTCCTACTGCGACGCACACATCAAGCGGCCAACGTGCGTTCCCATTTCACTTTGAACGCAGCCGCTTATTTAAAATAAATGGCAATGACAGCTCGGACGACTACACCGACATCATTGGGTTTCCTGTCATTACAAACATGGGCTTCATCGGTTGGGCTGAAATTACGCGGCGCATGCCACCCCACTCCACACGTGACACAAGATGACCTGTCACAGACACAGGACGTTACAGTGTTATCACTGAATGTGTCAACAGACGCCCTCTTTGCTCGCTAATACAATTCCAACCGTGACACGGTGTGGCGTGCAAGCGGCATACACACAGGGCTGAAGTGCATCGCGTGGTCGAGATGCAGATGGGTGGTAGGCGGCATGGGGTTCCCTGTCGCATTCTGAGAATTCATGCCGAAGGGGTAACCGTGGAGGCAGGGCCGGAGCTTCAAGTGGGGCGGAACGCTCCGGTATGCATACGCAGCGTACGAGTAAGAAGCAAAGAGACTATATGATGGACCGGCAAACTTGAGATTTCATGTCAGGATATCATCGAGGTGAGCGTTATGTATAAAATGCATTTTAAATGTACTGGAATACTGTTACGTAGTGTATCATGTATATTAAATCTACTATAATACCCTTACATGGTATACAGGTAAAATAATAAAGGTCCAGTCTTGTAATTACTTGCTCACACCACTGTTGACAGAAGGCCACCACTAGAGGGACTTCTAGAGAGTGCCTCTAGATGGAATTTGGCCTACTCTTCCATGCTATGGAGTTTACAGTGCATATATTCAATGCGGTAGAATACCATTACATTGTATATTTGTTCGATGCGTTCTGGAATCTTTTTCAAAGCACTTAAAACGCTGGGCAGGGCCAGGGATGTTGTCCGGGAAGCAGTTTCTCAATTTGCAATGGCTAACACTCTCTAGTCAGGCAGCGACTGGAGGAAGGTGCAATTGGCCAGCGAGAGACACAAACATCCATGACCATAACTCGTGGCCCAGCTCGACGCACAAAGGGCCCTTCTGAGGCGACAGTGGGAAGGGGGAGGAGTGTGGGCGCCCGCGTTGCATTTACCTTCGCGGATGGCAGTGAAGGGCGTGCCTTCCTCCTCCTGCAGCCGGATCACTTTGAGTGCCACCAGCTTCCCGTTCACCCTGCATGACAACACAGCAGTGAGACCCCACGTGCATCCCTCCGTCCGACCCACTCCCTCGCCTCGTTAAGGCTCAGCAGCGTAGCTATCGTGTGCGCAGGTGGTGCAACTGCACAGCGGGGCCTACGGACCGGGTTACAAAGAGGCGAGTGGAAATTGAAGAGGGGTGGGGTGGGGGCACCATTTCATTCCTAGCACCAGGACCCATACCAACCACGCTACTACCCCGCTGGTTGGGCTCCGGAGCATTTGGTTTCTGTTTAAAGAGTGCATGACGGAGATCCGTGCGGGTGTTCCTGGATAAAGCAATAACACATGGTGGTGGTGCCACCTGGTTTAGGGGGAAGGGGAGCTTTCGTGAAATACACCGCTGTTTTGAAAAACACTGCTGCGACCATCAGCATTGGCCTTGAGGTACAAGAGGGTGCAGCCGTGGGTGTGCAATGGGAGTGCTAGAACCATGAATGGCAGAAATGGGGCATACAGGGTTTGTGGTTAGGGACAGGGTGAGGGATAGACCACTCCTGCATGGATTTAAGGTAAATACAGTCGTGCCCTGGGCAAAGAGATTATTTTACATTCCTAAAATGTAATCTTCTGCTGACAAATAATACATTTGTTGCAATTTGTTATATATCAATGCGACTTGCATATGTAAGTGGTGGTCATCATATGCACACTTTAAGACATATCCGTAAAATTGCGAACAAATTGTAAAGTTTCAAACTTTTGGCATCCATCACAGCTTTGTGAATTGCTCGGACTTCCTCATCGCACACCCCCTTAGGCTGTGTCTGGGCCTACTGATTGGCTGCAGAACTCTTTTTTTCTGAGCAGCTACTATTTTTCATGCCACAGTGCACAAAACAAGCGAATGATCAGATTCACAGGAGTGCAGTGCAGACGCTGCGCTGCATTCCCTATCGCTCGCAAGCATTAACATGCGAAAAGCACCTGTGGCCACGGAAAATGATGCGATCCTGCTGGGCTCAATTTGCTTACGCCCCACACCCCCATTCGAAACTCGGCTTGCTGAGAGCACCTCGTGTAATGTGATTTTGTTGCCGATTTGAATAACTTTCAACACGAGCAATTCCAGTTACGTGACGTGTGTATTAATCTTTTACATAGCAAAACATTGCCAATGGATCCGCGGCTTTAGGTAGAGTCGTAAGCTAGACATAGCTGGACATTGTGGAGCCTGGACAGGGTGCCATCCTTGCCCCCCCGCCTGCCCCCCCATCCCACCACCTTGCTGTTGCAATGCCAGCACAGCCCCACCAAATATTTGAGGCACTGGCAGGCACAGCTGGCTTCCAACAATTGGGCCGCACGTTCCGGCGGCGCCTGGGGCAGCCACCCTGCCTGCCCCACCCTTGCTAGGGCACTGGCTTTAAGGTTACACAAGACCGGCTGCCATGTTTATCCATCCGGTGGCAGGGTTTTGTGGTGTGTGCAGGAGCGTCTGCATGCAGCAAGCAAGGTGTGTGTACACAATTGTGAAATATACGGCTGGAATTTGAGCAAACTGATAGATAAAAAAATAGATTTAGGAGGCCAGTTATGGATGGGGTCTCTAAGTAGTGTGGCTCACTTGCTCTTGCCCTTGTAGACGGTGGCATAAGATCCTTCGCCCAGCTTCTCCAGCTTCTCGTATGAATCCACCTTCCCAAACTTCGGGCTCGTGGGCTGTAAGAGACCACATGGGCGTTGTTAGTCACAAGCATTAAAAAAAAAAAATTTAAACATTAAACTGCGCTGTAATTTTATACGCTAGTGCTGTATATCGCGTTGCACCTAGAAAGTCATCCTCATCTTTATTTGAAGCAATGTCTTGTGACATTTAACTCTGCCCTAAACCCAGAGAGTTTATGCCTGGCTAGAATTTAAGAAGAGACTATTAGATGCTACAGGTGTTCCAGATTTGGCTACAACATAAGCACGGAATTGGGCCTACTTTTTCAAGTAATGTAACAGGGATTTCGAGGCAACTGTTTTTGGTAATTACATCATTATAACCCATTGTCATTCCACTGCTAGATGAAGGCTTCCCCACATCGCATTGCCCATGGATTGGTTGCTGCACCACACTGGTCAGTACGGATTAAAGAAGGTGGTGGCCCAAGGACTGGTTTGGAATTCACACGCCACCAATGTTAGCCATGGCCAAGATCTAACCCCAATTTATCAAAGCAATGTTACGACTAAAAATAAATGAAGGGAGACAACGATGACTCACGACCACTCGTAGGTATGGAAATGTCTGCAAACACACAGGAGCATGTTAAAATTATTCACCAGCATGCACAAGCTGCTGAAAAATAATTCCCACGCGACGGTTATTACGTAATGAAAACGAAAGTGCCTTCACGGCAGGCCGCAAGCCCTGCACTGCGGTGGCCAAAGAAATCCACTTCCTTCAGACAGAATCCTTGGGCGCGCAGTCCCATTTGAAGTTCTTAAGTTGAAAGGAAAGCCGGCTGCTGGGCAAAGAACCCACGGGAATGAGTGCCAGCGAGTCCCTAGCGCTCATTTAAAGCTTGCCAACTCCACGAGGCATAGACGACTCTCCTCCTATCTCTATCTATCTCTATCTCTCTCTCTCTCGAGAGAGAGAGAGAGATAGAGAGAGATAGAACAAGAGCGTGAGAAGCGCCGAGCGAATCCACAGAGAGAGCGTCGGGTGAAAACTTACAACAGAAGATGCCCTAAAAGAAAGAACCCACCCCCACATTGCTTCCCCAATCCTCCGCTGCAAAATGGGCACGGGAGATGTGATCAGCATTTAAAAGCATGCGATAATGTATTAATATAATGGATGTATGTGACATGAAGTTAAAGTTATCTGGCTGTAACATTCGTACCAAGTATTATTATTAGAGGAGAAAGCAGCACATAGCCTCAGGCCAGGCAGGTTAATGTGTGTGCCGTGTCTGCAGCACATAAGCCACTGTGCCAGTGAGCCTTATTCTGCCTGTGTGCATTGGGTGTTCACAAAAGACTGTTTCATCCAGCACAAGACAGATAAGCATGCAGTTATTGCCAAAGCCCTCATGTTCCTAAGATAGCTGGGTTCTTTTAAACATTATTCTTGCTTGCACGTCTGCATTTAAATAACATTTGTTTAAAGAAAAAACGCTGTTATCTTTTTCTCCAAATTTATTCCACTTGTGCTATCGGCATCGAGGTATAGAGAATCCATTCAGATCTCTCACACAGCAGTGTAACCCTTGATATTAGACAACAGCCCACAGAAGTGGATATCACGGAGATAATTCTGAGATACATTGAAGCCATCAGTTGCATGCAGTATGACATCAACTGATCTTTTCAATTCTCAGAGCTGACATTTAAGCCTAATTAGGTGTAAAACTAAATTTAATTGGACGTGTTTTATTTGCGTGCTGACATTGGTGACAGGACTGAGACCATCAACTCACGACAGTTGAGGACCCAGTTGAAGCACAGGCAAATACCTGGATTTCAACCCAGGTCTAAGTGGTGCCAACTTAGCACTCTAACCTCTGAGCCGCACAATTACCTCATTGAATTACATAACAATGATATCATCATCTTGACTGAGGATCGACCGATTGCTGAATTAAGGCCCCCCCCCCCCCATGTTATTGCCATATCTCATGGTTTTGCGATACAACAATCCATCTAGCACTTCAACAAGAGCTGATTTCACCGCTCCATCTCTGGGGTGCACGTTCTCTTGGTCGTATTTCAATTTTTGGCTGCCAGTCCATAGTTAGTCTCGACCATTTGCCATCATCCATGCTAGCATCATGTTCTGCCCAAACCCACATTGCATTATTAATACAAAATAAAAGCATCTACACCTGTAAGGAAAATGTTGTGAGATTACAGTGGTGTTACAAGCACGTCTTTACATTCCTTTGTAACTCTCTTTGTAATGTTTTTGTATTTCTAATATTGACTGATCATCCTGTGTTCTAATAGTTTGTTCAGCTTTGCTTGATGAACAAAAAAAACGCTAGACCCTATCGTAAATGTGTCTAGCGCTGAAACCCTCGCTAGTCCTGTATTCTCGCTTGGCAATGCCTTTCAGAGGTGAGCTCGGCTTTTATCTTCACTGGAAATCAATCCCAGCCCAGTTGAAGGCACGCACAGACACTGATGACGAGCCTAAGCACACCGCCAACGCGGGCAAATGCCGTTACCCATCGAAACGGGGCGGGGGGGATAACAAATGAATGCATTACATCGATGTATCGAACAACGTTATCATTATCAATCAGAAGCAAGTACCGCAGTGGCTGGGAGATGCACTTGTAAGATCACTTGGTATATTGTCGGAACGTTGCAATTTCAAATGATGATTGGTGGCCAATTCAGCCAATCCTTCTGTGGTTGTTAAAATAAATACAGATATAGGGAAAGTTAATTTAGGCTGTCCCATGAATAAACTGCCCTTGCCATAAGAACATGGAATTTCCACCAATGTTTCAGGACCGTCACAGAATTTGAACACTGCCCCATATCCATTGAAACATTACAATCACACAGGTGTCTGCCCAACAATCTTTGTATGCATATCGGGGGGTATTTTATTTCTCTAAAGGGGGAGTGGGGAGAGGGGGGGAGTATATCCCTCCCCCCCCCCCCCCCCCCCCCAGTTATTGCGCTGTACTACGATGCCCTATGACCTGGGTTAAATTCCCAGCCATGGATAACATAAGTGGCAAGTGGCATCTGAACCTACCCTGGTCTCCCCTAGGGCAAAAACCAGCTTCACATAAATGTCCAGTGCAGTATGTCAAACATCAGCACTGTGCCATGCCAACCTTCAAAGGTGCTCGATAACAGCACTCACCCTTATGGTGTACAAGGCTTAACTGGGGGTGGGGAAAGGGTGGTCTTTGTCATTTGGCCTCCGAGTCAAAATGTTCAGGTCCAGGCTCAAGACCTTTTTTTATTCCACTGCCTATGATGGATTGCCTCTCTCTACAAATAAATATACCCACTGTTCCTGTACAACATGTTGAGATATGGTCACATTTAGACACTATATAAATCTACATTTGTTCTGAATTTTATTGAATTAGGGGTGGAGGTGTCAGGAGGAGGATTATGATGTTGGATGATGATGATGAAGATAAAGACAATGAAGAAAATAATGATGCTGACCCTGATGATCCTCATGATAATAATTGATGACAATGGATGGTCCCATGGCAATGGACGGATGACACAGGTGGACGGATGGCACAAGCACTTACAGAACCCGGACTGGAATGGCGGAGCGAGCTCGGCGAGTCTCTGCCCGCCGTGCGGATGCCATCGTCCGTGTCGGACGGCGCACGCTTCACGCGGCCCGGGGGCCTCTCGGGCGGCTCCGAGGCGCTGTGGACGCGCCGCTGCGCCGCCACCGCCGCCGCCTTGGCGCGCCGGTCCTCGGGAATCGTCTCCAGCTGGGAGATGACAGGGTCGGCGGCGAGGACGCTGCCACGGCCCCCCGACATCCTCGACACGGACATCTGCGACAAAAGGGGGTTGAAGAACAAACAGAGTTCGTGTAATTTTCTTTATTTAGTAGGGCGTTTGGGGAAGCGCGGGGTGATTTATACCGACACAGATTAGCTTTCCGATGATTGTGCCTTTGCCCGTGTGGGCGGTGTGCTCAGGCACATCGGTGTTTGTACATGGCTTCCAACAGGCCTGGCATTGATTTCCAGTGAAGGTAGCAATCGAGCTCACGTGGAAACAGCATCGCCGAGCATGACAACAGCAGCAAGAGTTTCAACTACACCGGGTGTCGTTGAGCACGATGTCCAACGTTCCGCTCCACGTGCTGTCAACACGTCGGACGTCGCGTCGAACAGAGTGCAGTACAACCCGGCAAATAATCAGAGAGCTATACCGCACAACCGCGAAAACCTATGCACTAGTGATGATAATGATTAATGATGCTGACAACGATGATGACGGTAATGACGATGATGGTGTCTAGGGTCACCAGATGGAAAGCTATTTGATGGTGTCTGGGGTTTGCCAAGTAAATTCCATTTGCACATCTTGCAAAAGCGTGTCCAGTATTGGACAAAGATCAGTGATGCGAGTGATGCATTGCACTTTACTGCAAGTCACAATTAGGCGACTGCTTAATTCCCCACTTACGGAGGAGGTAACCTCCCAAGTGCAGGGCCAAAATCAATTTGACTGACGATATTATTTTTGTGTGTCCTGCTGCTGTTGGCCACAAAATGTGCAGCGCTTGAACAAATATGAAGTGCTTATTGAAATACCACAAGTGTAATAATAATAAACATCTCTCGTGTACGGATGAAGGTGGTTCGGAAGGCAGATGGATGGGTGGCTAGATTTGTTGATAGATAGGGAGGTGGACAGTGGAGTGCGATGTAGGTAGACTGGTTGATAAGTATGTAGATTGGATGGTAGACATGTCTGAAGATTGGTAGACAAAGGTAGGTGGATCTCCTGTCATGTTTCTCATTTGTAGGAGAAAACTGGAGCAAGGCGAGAAGATAATACAAACTCTTTGGTTCTATTGGGTAAAGTCACGTAGGTGAAAATAAAATAACAAAAAATCACGACGTTTCGGCCACAACACAAGCGGCCTTCATCAGGTGAAGGGACGAGACTGTCTGGAGGACAGCGCTGGAGTGAGAGAAGCCACGCTTAGATCACGACCTTTAAGCTGTGTGAGATGAAAACAAAGCGCCTTGACAAAGGAATTAGCATATAATTTAGCATTGAAATGGCTCATTGAAATAGCTAAGTTAAAGTATACACATCCGCAGAGGTACCCCTTGTTGTGGCCGAAACGTCGTGATTTTTTGTTATTTTATTTTCACCTACGTGACTTTACCCAATAGAACCAAAGAGTATGGATCCTAGCAGTCACGAAAGCTTTAAATCTAGAAAAGATAATACAAGTTTAGGGTTACTGGACGTAAAATTCTATTCAATATTTAACAATGATACATGGAGAGATATATTGATATAAAGAAATGGTTGAGATAGCGGGAATGACCTCAGAGCATATATAACCTGAATATAAATTTGACATAATAATTTGAACATAGTATGATAACTTGACGGTTCATATATATTCACACATATACAATTATATCTTCACATTACTATATATTTTATACAATGCTAGTCAATATCCAACTTGATAAATTAATCTTAAAAAAAAACAATGCTGACTGGCAGAAAATATATACCCACACATACATATATATATCAAACACCAATAGAAAAACATTTAGATTTAAGGTTACATTTTTATCACATCGACAAAATAGCACTGAAAATGAAGAAAAACTCAATGGAGTAGTGATAAACCTAATAATATGACAGCACTGCCCTTGACAGATGACATGTCTACAGTGCAGTCCTTTTCAAATGGCTCTGACACGTGGTTACACAGTGCACCGCTGGTTCCTATTTTTGTTGGCATTTGGCTGGGAAAATGTGAAATATTTGGCAAATTAAATGGAGACGGCCGTTTTGTTCCCATCACACACTGCGTCGTGCATGGGGCTCATGTAAACAAGGTCAAGGGGCACCCTGTGCTGAGCACGCGGTGTAACGCAGCAAGGATGCAGATGGATAAGGATCAAAGATTCACATTTGCCACTGAATATTTTCCGGATCGCTGGTAGAATGGTGTAGGTGGCACTTGATTAATAGCCACGCGGCCATAGCGAGGGGTATGTTGGATGTGGGTTGTTGTGTGCAGAAATATTTTCCGGGTCGCCGGCCCAGCCAGACCCAGCTGAAATGATGCCCTGCTACATATGACAGGCAGGAGAGAGACCCAGTGAACGAGAGTAGAGGTATTGATTGGTTGTCAATCCACTGCTGCACAGTTCCTCCCCACATTGTGTGGGTTGTCGAGGTTTTTTGACCATACTTCACCGCACTGGGCAGTGTGTTTGTGAAGGCAGAGAGTATAAATGTCGGCACATAGACGTGCAGTACAACAATGGATTTTGCTGCCCTATCCTCGGCTGCCCACCATGTAGGTAATGGTTATTGTTTGGTTACTATAATTTCACTCGAGCAGTCCACCCCACCCTCCACTGCAAAATAAATATACAATAACTACCGTATACAAAGTGGAGTAAAGAAATAAGTATCTAAACGCGTAGAATTAAATTGAAAAGTATCTAAACATTATAAGAATTGTTTGCAGGATTTTTTTGTTTTTGCCAATGTGCAGTTATAACGAAAACAAGGAATGCATGTTCGTTTCACGTAAACACGCAGCAGATGTCGTGGGCAGTGGCAAAGCGAGGCAGGCCCTTCCATCAATTCAATTCGCATTGAGAAACGCTGACAGGAATACTTCATGGCGGTAACCCACCCCTCAATGGCCCCACGTGGCCCGGTAACAAGGGCGATTCTTTCTAGCGGTTGCCGGTCGATTGTGAACGGAACCATCGGTGTTTTGGGCTCATTGAATAAAGCTAGAGCTCTATTGTTTTCTCCTCCATTCCATCTGCAGTCACGCAGTCGTCTCTTGGTTTTGACTATGAAAGAGCGGGCATTTAAAAGGGGCTTCGGCGCAAACCAACGGAACTTAGTCGAAGCTTCACTTCACCGAAGACCTAATTACAGGAGAGGCTGTTGTGCCGTGAATGTAATTGCACTTGAATGAAAATGTCTTGCATTCTGAAAGGGGGGTAAAATATAAATAAGTGCATTTCCTGCCTTTGTCTTTCTCTATTAATGCAGAAATGAAAACAAGATGGGCTTTTATGCTTTACATTCCAAAGGGAAATAACTGAATTGTTCAACAACAAGAACAATAAATAACACAAAGATGTTTTTCACTTGCTTTAGGACTGGTTGGTGTTGCTAACACAAAACCCTATTTATCCTGGAAATGCCAGCATCAACTCAGAGAGAGATGCATCACATCCGCGTGTTTAAACACAACCTGTGCGCGTCGCCGCGTTGGGTGTTTGGATATCCGTATCGGAGCGATTTCAGACGTTATATTTCCAAAGTGCCGTGACATTTAGAAGGGGCGCGCACACGCACGTAGCCACGGAGCGTTTGCTCATTATTTTTTATAGGCTTCCCCCTATAGCACTCAACCTCTGCTCCTCATTCACGCAAAGAGCGTCAATGAGCTCTACGGGAAACGTACAAAATGAATTCCATTACTAGCGTCTGGATTGAAAAGCCGGTATGTGGTTTACTGCAATGAACAAAATTCCCGTTGCAACCCCCACACACAAAGGCTGTCTGTATCTGTTCCTAACCGAAGAGCACTTTATTTCATTACAGCAAATAACACATAACAAGGTAAACAAAGACACAAGTCCCCAGTGTGGTCCACAGAGTCAAAGTTGAGGACAAACTTACATCCGAAAGCAACAACTCTAAAGGTTGTCACAGATCACATGGGGGTGGTGTGGCCAGGACCATGCCCGGCTGCCTTTGTCTCTCTCTGTGTGCTAATCTTTACACCATGCATCAGGTTCTCATTGAAGGCAGAGATGACCAATGGGAGGCCAAGAACCCGATCAGATAATCACCACTGATGTTGGCCATGGCCAAGAAATTGAACTCAGTGCCCGTATTCACAACACAGCAAGGTACCAGGTGCCCCACAACCCACCCATTGCTCTTATTATTACCCATTCTTACAGTGAGGGAAAAAAGTATTTGATCCCCTGCTGATTTTGCACGTTTGCCCACTGACAAATAAATCATCAGTCTATAATTTTAATGGCAGGTTTATTTGAACAGTGAGAGACAGAATAACAACAAAAAATCAAGAAAAACGCATGTCAAAAATGTTATTAATTGATTTGCATTTTAATGAGCGAAACAAGTATTTCACCCCTCTGCAAAACATGACTTAGTACTTGGTGGCAAAACCCTTGTTGGCAATCACAGAGGTCAGACGTTTCTTGTAGTTGGCCACCAGGTTTGCACACATCTCAGGAGGGATTTTGTCCCACTCCTCTTTGCAGATCTTCTCCAAGTCATTAAGGTTTTGAGGCTGACGTTTCGCAACTCGAACCTTCAGCTCCCTCCACAGATTTTCTATGGGATTAAGGTCTGGAGGCTGGCTAGGCCACTCCAGGACCTTAATGTGCTTCTTCTTGAGCCACACCTTTGTTGCCTTGGCCGAATGTTTTGGGTCATCGTCATGCTGGAATACCCATCCACCACCCATTTTCAATGCCCTGGCTGAGGGAAGGAGGTTCTCACTCAAGATTTGACGGTACATGGCCCCGTCCATCGTCCCTTTGATGCGGTGAAGTTGTCCTGTCCCCTTAGTAGAAAAACACCCCTAAAGCATGATGTTTCCACCTCCATGTTTGACGGTGGGGATGGTGTTCTTGGGGTCATAGGCGGCATTCCTCCTCCTCCAAACACGGCGAGTTGAGTTGATGCCAAAGAGCTCCATTTTGGTCTCATCTGACCACAATACTTTCACCCAGTTGTCCTCTGAATCATTCAGATGTTCATTGGCAAACTTCAGACGGGC